TATTCCGATTCTAGTCGGTTGAGTAACCGAAGGAGTCTTCGTTATTTCGATCGATCATCAGAATAGCCCCCGGCGATAGGCCACACAGCAAGTACCCGTCACGTTTCCAATGAGATCGGTGCCGCGATGACACCCTTGAAATGTTTTTAATAGCGTGATTTATAGAGCAAATTAAACATTTGACTTGCCGTGAATTCGTTGAGTAGATCCGACACGCACGGACTTCGGGAGTTGAGATGCAGCGGGACTCGGTACTGTCCGGTGGACATTTAAAAATGCAGACTACCTTCTATATTTAGCCTTCTTTACTTACGTTGAAACTTGTTTCTTCTAATCATGAGACAGACACATTGAAACAACACATGATCGCTGAAACGAGCACCTAAATATAATAATCATATTAACTGAGCCGCTAGAGATAGAATAGCCTAACTACAATTATATGACGTTTCTCTTATTTATATTTTTATAGACTAAAAATGATAATCTACAAAAGCACAGTGTCGAAAATTATTAACATGATTCTTACCCAAAGTATAGAACGAATTCATTTTCTCCTAAGTTACTTGCGCATTTATATTTTCCTTCTTATTGAAAATCATGTTTTTCATTATTAGGCCACTCTGCCTCTAGCAACCTCAATTTATAGCATATCACATACCGATCGCACGGGTATCGAATACGTGCACTATCAGCAGTTTCCCCGTAGTGGCACAGCTTAGGGCTGTCGCCTAATAAAGTGCAGCTTAGGGCCGGCACATAACATACAGCTAAGGCTGAAACCAAGCGTTTGTTAGGGCATTTGTATTGTAACAAATGTTTGTATTTAAAATAGAACAGACGAGTATTTGTAACCAATTATAATATAATTGTCAATTTGTACCTACTCGCATATAATATATACTATATAATTAATATATAAAATGTTAAACCTAACATTGCGTATGATTAAATATTAAGTTTCATCAAAATCTGTTTCATAATCTGTACTTATTACAGAGTAACAAACGTATGCATATCTGTGGTATACTATTTCGATAGTTTTCTATTCAAGGTATAATCTGTATAATGTTTTGTTTTCGTTATAAATGTACACCTAGTTTATCTATATTAGTATTAATATGTAATTTAAACTTATCTATGGTAAGTATAATTTAGCGATATATTTATGACTGTACGCGACTTTTTTTTTTTTTAATAATATTTAATGGCCTGGTAACGAGACCTTTAAGCCAAGTCTTATTTTCACTTCACACTTTTCTTCTTATATGGACCCTATAGTGTTTTTAATGTATTTGTATAACGCACTATAACACTTTTTGTTTTTAAGTAAATTACACAACTGGCGGCGGGAGGTTTCACTAGCTTCTATAATATCACTTGCCAATATAAGTCTATGAAAGATAAACATAGGGTGTTGACACTTAAAAAATATGTGTTCGATGTCTCCTTCTTCGTCACAGTAGTTGCAAATATTGCTATTTATTATATTGAACCTCGCAAGATGTGCGGGTGCGGCATTGTGACCAAATCTCAATCTGTTAATTGTAGTGATAAATTCACGACTAGCTACATCGAGCTCGTCATACCAGGGTTTGTTTGGTAAATTCTCTTGTATAGTTCCATACCATTTTCCTTTACATTTTTGATCTTCTTTCCAGAACTTTAGCCACATATCTTTTAAGGAGATATTTACATCGTTATAATAGTCAGTCATAGGAACGGACACCACATTTCTAACGTTCTTAGCATTGATTCCTTCATATGCAGTCTTGTCAGCTATTTCATTACCAGAAATACCCTTATGGGAAGGAACCCACATAAAGGCAACTGTTATTCCTTTATTATGTAACTGCCACACATAATCTTTGATATAATAAATTATATAGTTGGTTTTAAAATTAAGATTTATATGTTTGAGGCTTTCTATAAGACTCAAAGAATCTGTTAAAATTAAAAAATGTTTACAAGTATCAATATGTGTGATGAATTTTAAAGCCTCAAAAACTGCATATGCCTCTGCCGTATATATGGAACAATGTTCATTAAGTACAAAGCTCTGAGTGTATTTTTTTTGCGGATCATATATTGCACATCTAACATAAGTATTACCTTTGCTGCCATCAGTATACATTGTATAATAACTATTATTTTCTTCTAGGAAGGAAATAAAGTCTGTGTTATTATTGATTATCATTGAAAAAACTACTATTGGATGCATTATACTGGCGTATGAATGAGTGTAACATGGCCAGTGGGAGTACCTACAAATGTTTGAATATTGAGACTGTATGTCTAACAAAATTTGGCATAAAGTTGGAGATATGTTTCTAAGAAGATTTATAGCAGAAAAAAGAGGACTATCAGTAGTCATTGGGTGAGGTTTAATTTTATTTATAATTTGTAAATTGTTTGATGAGCATAATTTAAGGCAATATCTTTGTGCAAGCATAAATCTTCTCAAAACCAAAGGCATAATATTTGTTTCAACTTCCATGGCCCTTATGGGAGTTGAACACATAGCCCCTGATATGATCCTTAAAGCTCTGTTCTGTATTACATCTAATTTTTGGATATGAGTACTATTTAAATAGACTAAATAACTATAGTCAAAATGACTCCTAACAATAGATTTATATAAGACTGAAAGTATTTTAGGATCTGCACCCCATGTAACACCTGCTAAGCATTTCAAAATATTAAGACCATTTAATGCATGTTTAGATATATATTTAATTTGTTCTTCAAAGGTAAGTCTTTGGTCAATGATAACACCTAAAAATTTATGTGACCTTACTTGTTGTATAACATCACCATTATAAGTAACATTTATCATTGGTAGGTCTTTTCCAAATATCATGACATTACTTTTCATAGTATTTACTTTTAAGTTTAGTCTGTGCTGGTAATAGTTATTCAATTGTCTTAATCCAGTATTTACTTTTTCTACAGCTAATGTTAAGTTTAAATCCGAACTGTATAAAACTAAATCATCAGCAAACTGAAGTATATTTACATTTTTGGTATCTACATATTTACATATTTCACATGTGTACAAGTTATATAACAATGGTGACAAAGTTGCACCTTGCATGGTACCTTTTGAGGCAATTCTGGGTCCATGTAGAACATTGTTATGCCTAACATATAGAACTCTATTACTTAGAAAATCATAGATCCATTTACACAACTGTCCTGGTATCCCAGCATTACTTAGTACCTTGACCAGTATGCCAGGATCTACACTATCAAAGGCCCCTTGGACATCTAAAAATACGCAAACTGTATGTATCTTATTATTTTTCGCATTTTTCAGATCATTTGTTAGAGAAATAAAGCTGTCTGCACAGCTTCTTCCTTTACGAAATCCATATTGAATGTGAGGGATGATAGTATTTGATTCCGCATACCAGTCGAGGCGAGTCTTCAACATGTTTTCAAATATCTTACCAAGACACGATGATAGTGAGATTGGACGATAAGAACTTGCATTTTCTGGTGATTTATCTGGTTTAAGAATTGGAATAACACATTGAGTCTTCCATGATGTTGGAATTAATTTCTTATGCCAGAGACTGTTAAGTACATTTAAAAATATTAATTTTATGGATTCAGGTAAATATGTTATTAATAAATAGGGAAAGTCATCTAAACCGGGACTAGTATTTTTACGGGATTGTAAACTCATTATAAATTCGGACCATGAAAAAGGTTCTAAAAGAAATCTTGATTGAGGGTTTTCATTGTTAGATATAAAATAATCATTTAATGAATTGGAGTTTACTAAATTTGTATTATCAGATAGTTTGTCTAAGAATGGTTGCACAAAATCATCCCTATACGACTTATTACCAGTTCTGACACCCTTAAACTTTTTAATGAGATTCCAAATTTGACTAATGGGAGTAGTTCTATTAAAGCTGTTACAGTAACTATTCCAACTAATTCGTTTTTGCTCCTTTATAGTGCGTTTCTTTAGCGCGTCTAGTCTTTTATAATTTATATAATTATCTACCGTGGGATCGTTTCTATAAAGTTTAAGTGCGTTGTAAGATTTTATAACAGCCTCTTCACATGTACTATTCCACCAGGGCGCTGGTGGTCTGCCTCTAAAGTTGGTTTTAGTAAATTTAGGAACACACATTTGTTTAAGCTTATTAAGTCTGTTACAAAACTCCTCATAAGAGGCAACTGGATTCCTCTTTTACTAACTATCATGTCTTGAAAGACATTATTAGAGACTTCTGCATACTTATTCCAATCTGTTTTATTATACAAAAATTTTTCTGTACCATATATTACTGTATATCTTTCAGGGTTTATAGTAATATTTGTGATAGTTGGGTAGTGATAACTACCCATAGCATCATCATATACTGACCATTCACAGAATGGAGCCAACTGGGGACTTATAAAACTTACATCTATTGCTGAGGGATTATGTCTAGGATAATTAACTGTTGTAGAGCTACCATCGTTTAAAATGCATAAACCACAATCATCTATAATGTCATATAAGTTTTGACCTCGACTTTTAGTGGATAAACATCCAAAGGCAATGTGGTGTGCATTAAAATCACCACTTATAAAAATCGGTTTTGGCAAATCTCTTAAAATATTATGTAATCTATGCATTCTTATGTGTCCATTAGAAGGAGGACAATATACACAAAGAATTGACAAAGAGGTATTACCGGTACTGACACTTAAAGCTATTGTTTGTATATCTTCTAAAAACACAGTATTTAAAATACTATGCTTTATATTTGGTTTTATTAAAATTCCAACACCATTTCGAGGGTTTTTAGAATTTTTATTGTAAAAGTTATAACCCGAAATGTAAAAAGACTGATTGTCCTTTAACCACGTCTCATTTAGTAAACAAATATCAATATCATTTTCATTTAAAAATTTAGTAAGTAAAGGTTTTTTATTGTTTGCGCCTTGAACATTAAATTGCGCAAGGCGCAAAGAGGATGACATGCAAGATTGGTTCTCCATTAACTTGGCAAATTTTTAATAAGTATATCTTTGATAAATGTTGTTGTTATAGGAGTGTCGTCTGTTTTATTTCCAATTTGAACAAGTGTATGTACCAGGGCCATAAGTACTTCACTGTTCTCAATTATTTGAGACTTAATGTTACTAGCCTGTGAAACTGGCTTACTTATTATAGATTTATTAACATTTTTAGATAGAGAATTATTTATATTCTTAGATACAGTATTATTTACAGTAATAGTATTATCATTTTTATTTACAGGTATGGAGCATACTGGCAGAGGGGGAAAATCAATATTTAATTTTGAATTGGCAACACTTGCATATGTAATTTTATTTTTCTTATCCACAATTTTTTTCATTTTAATGGGACATAGTTTCGAGATAGCCAAATGAGGTCCACTGCAGTTTACGCAGCAAATCTCATTTGGTTTAGGACATTCCTTATAAAAATGTTCTTGGGAACAAATAGAGCACCGCTGTTTGCCATTACAAATTTTTGCATGATGGTTGAATTTAAAACATTTGTAACATTGTTGGAGAGGGGGGACATAATCGAAAACTCTGTATGAAAATAAATCGTACTGCACACTTTCTGGTAAAAAGTTAGATAAAAATGTGATGCTAACAGTTTGAGTTGCTATCAATTCATGACCAACTTTTTTCATGAATCTCCTGACTGCTATTATTTCAAATGTAGATGTCAATTTACTAAATAACTCTTTGTTTGATATGGTTGCAGGAACAAATCTTATAATACCTGTTTTCTCTATTTGGGCTGCTGGTATGTATGCTTTCAAGTCGTGGCTTTCAAGGAAGCTGTTATTGTTTAAAAAATTATTTGCCGTATTGTGTTGTTTAAATATCACTACAATTTTGTTTGCATTGATTCGTCTGATCGCTACAACTCCTTTTATATTCGAAAATATATGGTTCAAATAAACTGGACTTTTATTTCCTATTTTATCTTGTCCGTTTTTGTTTTCAATAAAAACTTTGAATTCTGTGTTTATACTATTTTCAGAATAAAGTCTTTTATAGTTTGGTTTAAAATATGGCAAAAAGTCTTTCTCACCACCTCCGCCGCCAAGACCAGATCCGTTCTGGTGATCATCAGGCCGTCGTGGTCTTTTTTTGGAGGTGGGCGGGCTATCCACGCCCTCCTCCATTTTTACTGATAACACTCTATATGAATAATGTATTTATGCTATATTGAACAAAGAAATACTAAAACATTAAATTAATTTGTGCTAAAGAAAAATAGTCGACCGCCCTTTTCACTGTACGCGACTGTACCCATCCCATAGACAGTCATTGCATTAGCGCTACTTAATACGCGCTACCAACTACCAATAGACGTTTTTACAAGTTTAACTTCGCCGCGTGTCTGTGTGAACCAAATCTGGCCTCGGGCCATAGATTAGTAATCCAGCTAGATATATTTTTAGATGCATAGAAAAATGGTGGTATTTTTATCTGGAAATTACTTAAATAGGTATTGTGTTTAGTTTAGTGGTGATATTAAAATATAGGTACTCTCTTTATTGATTAAAAACGCTAATATTTATTAATTAATAGTTTTAATTTTGGATCGTTGATTTTTCACTACGACCCGACGCTTAGATGTCTTTGAATTCGTTAAAAGTGATACATAATAAATCTTACCCATATTTACTAGATAAGGGTCAATTGTGACTTATTTATAATTATGATGATGTTCGCTTCGCCGAACGATTGAACATGTTGTCTAGCATTGGGTTAAGCGCGAAAGGTTTAAATCTTGCGGAAACAATGGGAGTAGATTATGGCGATCGGGTAGGATACAGAAGTCTGATCGAAACTATTTGCATGTAAAAATCTGATCAGTGAAAAGGATATGGAAATATGTTCGTGAATTTCAATTGTAAAGACTGAGACAGCCCATACAATCTGGATTAAGTATTTAGCTTGTATTTTTTTTTTAACATACACTTAAAGTATTATGAGGTGATGACTTTTAATTTTAGGAGGGGAACACCTACCTGTACCTACTGAAAATTTTCTCAAAAAGATCCTAATACCGAACTAACGCATCGACTTCAGATCACGAAGATCTGTCAAGAGCAAGTTAGACCAAAGTGTGACTTACTAACTTATAATTTGCGTACGTTTAGGCATTAAAAAAAATATGTTAAAGGAAAATATATAAATATACATATTAATGCGCAATTAACTCAGGCGAAAATGAATCTGTACTATTGTTTCTTTAAGAATTATGTTAACAATTTTCGATCAGCGTGCCCTTATAGATTAACATTTTAAAATATATATAAGTCAAGACATAAAATTGCAGTTAGGCTGCTCTGTCTCTAGCGGCCTCAATTATTGTTTATTTAAATTTATGCGTCATTACATATGTTCTAGACAAAATTAAATAAACGATTGTCCTTCTGGAGACAGGAAATATCTAAATATCATTTAAACACACCAATAGTACCCAACTGTGCACTAACCAGACCGGAACAATTTCCTTTCTATACCCGCTGAGTTGCATTCTTCTAGTCTGTGACTAAACTGTTTTATTTATCATGAAAATCGTGTACTTTATAACGGTTGGAAGAAACCACTGTCTCCAGGCCCAGAGTCTTTAGCACAACTACTTGCTTTAATTTAAATCGGTCATCGATTAGCATAGACGCGTAGCTGTTCCGTCTTGTATATATTAAAAGAAAACACTGGAGAATTTTAAATGTAAAACTTATAGTAATTTATCCACAGCGTTCTACCGAGCAACAGCACGGAACGCTGCCGGTTGAAGTCCGGCCCGTGTCGTAATTTTTTTTTCAATCTATACCTAGGTATTCGATTTTTAATGTACGTAATAGTGCCATCATGAGCAAAAACGTGTGAAAAATATTAAAGCTTTCCAATAATAACTTATTTCCGCCTTATACGAATAGGTAAGGTAGCTAAAACGGTTATAAACGTGATAAATTAAACGAAAATAAAAAAACATCAGTTCACAGTAACAATATAAATTATTCAATATGAATTACGTAATATTAAATATTACTTAAACATATGTCGCGTTTAAAACCGGTAAAACAGTGTTTAAAGCATTACTTTGTTGTTACTAAGTTGTAGCCTACACTTAGCTAATAATCATTCAATTTATAACGACCTATAACTCACAGAAACACACAGTCCCTTATGTACCTATTATGTTATCAGGAGCAGGTGGAAGAGTATAAATTTAATAGAATCACCCCCTGCACATGTTATCTGTCCGCATGAGCACAATTTGCCGCGTTTGGCTCCCATTATATGGAGTGCAGCCCCCATCATTAGACCCGTGACGTTATCGCGTTTTTATAGGTCGGCAGAAGATGTTTTGTTACACTAATTAAAACAGGATCACTGGTTGTTATATACTGTGGAATTGGGGACATTTCGTGTGGAAGAATTTTACGGTTTTTGCTAGCTGATCTGACGTTTGCAATATTATTATTATTACGTTGATTTAACTGTAAATATTGGTAATCAAGCATTATTGATATAACGTTTCTAGAAGTAGCGTTAGCTGTAGCGGTAGCGGTATTAAATAAAACACTTTTATTAAATATGTGTTATAAAACTTTACAATGGGACCACGGCTGCTGCAAAGCATCCGTAACTTAGAGGCGTAAGTTGTGAATAAGCTAATATAGTCCCCGTTTGAAACCGTTAATAGTGTTATAACTAAAAAAAATAATTAATAAGCGTAGATACTAATTATTTTTACAAGGAAATTTAAGCGAGTAGGAGATTGTTTTTCAACAAGTTAGAAAGAGACTAAAAGTAGCCTTAGTGCCTTGCTACCGTACTTAGTCGTAAAAGTGAAATCTTGTTTCCCCTCGTATGGGGCGAACACATTTTTGTGTCTGTTTCACAATTTGAAAACTTTAATATTTTTCACACGTTATTGCACATAATGGCACTATAAATCGCCTTCCATCTCGCCGTTTTAAGTCCTGCTCAAGTCGTAATTTTTTTATTTAAGAATCGATTTTTAAAATCTATATGTTCCCCGGGACTCGAACCTAGGACCACTCTTAACGCAATGCTAGGCAACACGTTTAACCATTAAGCTACATAGGACGCCTACTTAGTCGTACTATACAAAAAAATATTCGCGTATCCTTACGAAATATTAATGTATGGAGAGAAATTGATTTCGTCTCTGACTATCCAAGGGTGTTTGTCAGAGACAGTAATGTCGTGCAAGCATGTTATGGGGCGTGGCTGCCAGGCGTGGCCTGTCGACACTCCACCTCAGCCCCACCGCCCCCCAGCAAATATGATAACGAGGATGCCACTCGAGCAAACCGCATCTCTCCTCGGGTAGATACTATCATTACCGACATGATTGACTGTGCACTTACCTCCTGTTGATTTTGTGCGAATATGGCTTATCTGTGCGATTATACTCCCTATGTATAATATATTCTGTGTTAAGTATATTCACTTAATAATATGAAATAAACATGTGTTACTTCTTACTTTCTAAATAAATTTGATCATATGAGCTATTTAATAATTCTTTTTATTTATAAATCACTTTATGTCTTAAAGTATTAGCGCCATCTATCGATCAGTAGCGGTATTATCATTGATATTAAGTACATAAAAAATTTTTTTTTTTAACAATTCTTTTAAAAAAAAAAAATCTACAGAAAAATATTAGTTTAGTTCACTCGACTGCGAAATCCGAAATTCTGGTTCGAGCCCTGCCACTGACTTGGGCAACGTGTTAAGTCGTTATCGATTTAGTGAAGGTAATCGTTAAAGCCCACCAACCCAAACTGGAGCAGCGTCGTAGTACTTGCAAAACCTATATGAATCTGAGATGGTAATTCAACAGAAAAACTAATAAAACGCCTTTAAAAATAACTTTTTAATAACATTCGTAAAATAAATGATTCTGATTTGACACAGTCGCACTTAGTATAAAAATTTCAGGGGGACGTCCATTGGAATAATTACTTTATCTACGGCTACAGACGATATTACATTTACAACTTCGTAGTTAACTCGGGCACCGCCTTGAAGAGATCTGCCACCAAGCCAATGTCAGATACCTGTAACAGATTATTTATGATAAGCATGGGCCTTAATTAAAGGTGATATAACCCAGCCGTATAACATCCCACCAAGATGCGCTATCGCCCTATTTTGTTTTCGATATTCGGTAACCTGCAGATTGAAACCGACGCAATTCTTCACGGCTTTTCATCTGTGGATGGTAGCTAGTGACCCTCACCGATTTTCGACATTTTTATCCATTTTAAATCCAGATTTCCAGACGAACGTATATATCGGCGCAAATATTGCTTATCTGTTAAAACTACTAATATGTTACTTTTGACATTTAGTTTATGTTTTACAAAACTTTGTAAAAGTTGAGATGTGGGTGTAATTGGTGAGTATAGTTGAATATGAATAGAGGCGAAAAACAATTAGAGAACTATGATGGGTTGGGCTTGATATTGAAAATAAATCATTTATTTATATATATGTATTCTGACAATATATGAGGAAAGTTATGATAGATGCTGACGTCATAATTTAAAAGAGATCTTTGTTAAATTGATTAGAAACACATTGAACTCGGTGGGGATCGAACCAACTGCTTGAATATTAACCATTGCTACTATTAGAATCACGAGCCGGTCAAAGAAAATATGAATAAAATTATATATAATTAATACTAGTTTAGGCAAGTAACACATATTTAAACGCGAAAAATATTAATCAACTTATTTTATCTATTCGCGTTTTAAATCCTTTAACGTGTTTTATTTAGCAGTGTGTTATGTGTTAACAGTCTTTTTAAATACTGTCTATAGTTTACGCGAGCAGTACACATTTAAATATAACACTTTAACGGTTTAAAACGCGATGTATTAGTTAATCTTATTTGAAAATTATTTTTAACTTCGGAAGTCTCCCCGTACGTTTCGGATGCTTTGCAAGCACGCCGAATGACGGGCACGAAGTTAAAAATAATTTTCAAATAAGTTTAACTAATATATCGTGTTTTAAACTGTTAAAGTGTTTTATTTAAACAGTCTTTTTAATCTAATAAAACTGTAGTTATGTTAACAGAAAATATTTTGTACATACTTGGAAAATGGGCGCATCCGGATCCTTGTTGATTGCGACAATCGTTTTCGAGTCCTTCATACCGGCCAGATGTTGGATAGCCCCGCTTATGCCGACAGCGATGTATAGGTTCTACAAGAGAATAAAAATAAAATTAAAGCGTTGAAATATTCGCTACTTTGAATAGAATAAAAGATTCCTTGATTTAATGACAGCAATATAACAAGTTACTGCATCCTGGTATTCCATCCATCCATGGATGTGAAAGCCCTGAATAAATACTTGTGATGACTATGACTTAAAGGTCTAAAGAAAAATAGGCGGACAACACATTATAAATCAATGTTATAATGTGTATATATATATATATATAACAGATGGTTTATAGCTGTTTAAAAATCTAACCCTGACCAGCTCTCATTTTCAAATTAGTTAAATTCATAATAACCACAACATTAGTATTGAGATCCTTTGCTCTGCTACCCACAAAACTTACTGGTGCAACAATTTTCCCAGTCTGTCCAATCTGCAGATCATTGGGAACATATCCAGCATCAACAGCTGCACGACTGGCACCGACAGCAGCATTCAGTTTGTCAGCTAGATCGTAGAGCAGCTTGAAGTTGTCTCCAGACTTAAGACCGCGACCTAATAACGAAAGTGTCAAGCTCAGAATCGTTTGTTGGTCAGGAAATTAATATTATACACATATTATTTAAATACTGTCATTAGTTTACGCGAGTAGTACACATTTAAAAAAACACTTGAAGCGTTTAAAATGCGATGTATATTAGTTAAACTTATTTGTAAATTATTTTGAACGGCCTACGGACTTTGCCGACATTGATTACGGATGCTTCAACACCCTCTGTCAATTCTGCAAAGACCCGGCTAGTTTCGGAAAATATCAACTTACAACGACGGAAAGATGGCGCTGGTCAGTTTTACTTTCTTTGACGGCCAGCACCCTCCTCCTCCGGTCACGGGGAGTTTTTACTCTCCCCGTGACTACGATTGCTGTAAAGCATTAAAAACGTCGGGCCGTAGTTAAAAATATTTTTCAAATAAGTTGAAGTAATATATATAAGTTTTATACCATTAACGTGTTTTATTTACACATATTATTTTACAAGGAAAATCTCTATAATACAAAATTCTATTCTTCCTAATATAGGGCTATCTATATTTTTCAGTAAATAACAAATACATACCACCAGCAACAATATTCTTAGCACTAGTCAGTTCCGGTCTGTCGGACTTGGTTAGTTCCTGCGATACAAACTCTACCAAATCAGTCTTGTATTCGCCTTCTGGTGCTTTTTCTACAGCAGCAGATCCTCCCTCTAAAGGTTCTGGAGGAAAAGCTGTTCCTCTAACAGTGATTATTTTGACTGGGTCTTTAGCTTCTAATGTGAGAATTGCATTTCCTGTAAAATAAAAAGAGATTGATTTTTTTAAATATTAAGGATGTCTTTTTAAATCAATGTTATTATTTGATTTTGATGATATGATGGTTTAGTCAAAATATCTGTACTTTTTAATATTATGCATGCATTTGGTATAAATATAAGTATTGAGGTATAAATTCCAAGTACTTCCATACAAAATGTCTAATAAATATTATAATTAACTTCACATTTCATATTTCATTGATGCTAATGTTATAAAAAAAATACTACCTTGAATTTATTGCCCAAAACAAATACATAAGTTATCTCCATTTAATTTTGAATGAGATAAGATACAAAATTCAAACATGGTTAATCAAAACTATTTCAGATAAGTATTACATCATTAACTGTGAATAAATGATATAATAAAAATTTTTAACTTTTGTTTCAGACAAAATCTAATTTATATATAACTTTTTATTGAATAAATTGCACATATAAATGATACATTACACAAAATTGGCACATTGAAACTTAGACAAAATTTTAATCCATTTGTCCATCAACATCTATTTGATCAATTACAAATACATCTGCTACAATTCTTCAAATCTCTAAACACATTATATAAAATTCATTACCTGCATAAATTGTTCTTATAAAAGTATTTGCGTCTTTTACACCAATAATATCAGTAATAGGAGAGACATCCAATTTAGCAGCAACTCTAGGTAAGACAGCCTTGCCGAATGCACTAGCAGGTGCCAGTATATGGGTGAAATTGAACTGTTTTTGGGTGGCTAGTATTAAAGCTGAAAGACTTTCCGCAGTAAAGCCCTTAAATACATCACTCTCTGCAACTAGGACCTTAGAGATGCCGTTGGCTTTGGCGATAGCTTCAGCAGCCTAAAAAAATTTTAATATTTCATATTAAATAAAAAAACTAGTAAAATTACTATAATCTATTCAACCATAATAATCATGACAAAGCACATAATTTGTTTATATTACAGGAAGCTTTACTGATAAACATGTAGTAAAGGTTATGTTACTGATGTAATAAGACTATGTTCGGTAACTGTTTGATTATAGAAGTACTTACAGGACCGCATTTTGTTCCAGCGACAAGAACGGAGATTTCGCCCCCAATTTTTTTTGCTGCACTTAATGTATTTTGTGTAGCAGGAAGCAGAACTTCATTATTATGTTCAGCTATTACTAACGTACTTTGAAGACGACGAAGCTGGAACATATAACACCGAAATAAGGTCATTACGAACAACATTAATTATCATTTAAAATAAAATAACAAATGTCTAAAGATGAACTAACCTGGGTATAGAAAAGTAACTGCCTGTTGAACGGTGAGAACATTTTATTATTTAAACTTAAATTATATAAAAACTAAAACTTTATTTATCAAATCAACAAGGTGAATGTTGAAGACAAAACTCAAAGTCCATGAAATTAAAAATACAAGGCAAAGTCCCTCTTAACCGAGAATGTGTAAATTGTCAAATGTCATCACTGACCTTTGTGTCTATTTTCCACTTGTCATTGTGATATTAAAACAGCCGACTGTCAACGTCTAATTTTGAAAATCATTTTTGTTTACTATTTAAAAAATAAATTTGATTGAGACTTTAGGTAAAAGGATAAATAAAATCTCAATTTTGTAGCAATATAGTGTTGATTTACAGTAAGGTGTAATCTATGTGCTCTTTTTTGTATTGTATTTTGGGTGGCTCAAAACAAAATAATTTTAAATACTAGCTTAGCATATTGATAGATATTGATAGAGCTCTTTCTTGGACTCTACCATAGAATTATACGATATAGCGTTAAAATAATGCCTAATATACCAGTAATTAGTATACAATGTGATTGGAATGACGTCCTCAGGTACTAGTGTCCTAAAACTCAATTTTTCAGTTTATTTTTACGTTGTTAGACATAAGTACACTTTAAATTCAATTTACACTTGTACCATTCCAGATTACCCAATGGAAAGATCTGGATATCATCTAAGTACTTAAATGTCAATAGTGTTCACGATTCTATCACAACTTCTTTGAATAAACCCGATGTGAAAATCAAAGTAAATGTGCCTGATTCCTATCAATTAATATCTTACTCAAATCTAAGCCTCATTCTTAAACATGTTGAGTCTGGATTAAGGGTAGCATTTGTGGCTCCTACTAAGGTGCATAATCTCCACAAAAAAGCTGTACTTTCTGTATGTTCAGCGGAGAACTCATTAGCGGTATCTTCATGTGAAGGAGATCAGCTATTAGTATGGGATAGTAGAACAAGTAAGAATGTTTTTTTCTATGCATATACCTGGGTCCTAAGTTAGCTAATTTACTGAACAGTGACATGGGTATTATACAAAATTTAAATTACATACTGCCACTGTTTCACCAAGCAATTGTGCTAGTAAAAAGCAAGTAGTAAAAATATTTAGACAGTTTACTAGGAATTCATTAATTTAATTTATCATTGTGAAAAGCAAATTGGAACCTTGAGTTTACAAAATAATAATTGTATAATGTTAAAAGTATTTTCTTTTAAACAAATATTTCTTATCTCACTACATCATTTTCAGGGTTTAAATAATGTTATGATAGTATCATTCATTTTCAGATGAGACTCTGTTAGACTTGAAAGGACATGGTGGTCCAATTTACAAATGTAGGTTCTTCCCTTCAGGTATAGTAATTATATCAGCTGGTGCAGATGGATCTTGTAAGATATGGTCAGCTCAATCTGGTATTAATCCAGTAACATTAAAAGGACATGTCATGTCTGTAGCAGATGTCTGCATAGTTGAAAAAGGGAGGAATGTTATTTCTGTCAGCAAGTAGGTACTCTTTATAATATAAAAGTCTTTTAAATCTTGATACATTATCAATAAAACTTCTTCATACCATTAACCAAGTTCTTTAAAAATGTATTTGTCCCAATGATTCAAAATATTTTTCAATTATTTTCAGAGATGGGACAGCTAAACTATGGGATGTGGGAGAATCAAAATGCTTGGGTGATGTAATAAAAGATCAAGGACCAATTAATTGCTGTGCTTTGACAGCAATTGATGCTGAATGCACAGTTGAAAATGATAGAGAGGTAATTTTTTTTTCGGCATTTAATGTACTGTTGGCGGAGGTTACTACTGTAATGACTGGTATCTTATAGAAACTTATTGAGACACTTGGCACTTGCTTGTCTTTAGTAGTTAGAGCTTCTTTACATGTCTGTTATTTTTCAGATAGGCACAGAAAATAAACTTTTAGTAGTGGGATGTGAGTCAGGAATGATAGTGGGGGCGCATGTAGCAAAACGAGAAGAGCTTTTCCACACACCACTAAAATCTCCATGTAATGCTTCTATTATTGTTGATGAGACCATAATAGCAGGGTGTGCAGATGGAAAAGTAAGTAATTGTAGCATTGTGTTCATGTATATACATTTTTAGCTTTTAGTAAATCTATACTAATATATAAAGCTGAAGAGTTTGTTTGTTTGTTTGAACGCGCTAATCTGAAGAACTACGGGTTAGGATTGTAAAAAATATTTTTGTGTTGGTTGAAAGGCTATACACAGCAATAGAAGCGAAGATACAACGGGAAATGTGAACAAAACGGGGAAAATTTTTCATCTCTGTGGGTTTCAAATACGTACGCTGCGAAAACGGTTCAAGATCGGATATATGTTCTAAAAAGAAGTCCGCTATACTATATGTCTAACTTTTAAGATTACCTTTTAAGAACGACGGGAAGGGACGCGATCGACGTCGTGGCTAACAGCTTAAGTTTATAAAGATAACGGGATTCATTTAGATGCCCAAAATAACGATATTCGCGGACGAAGTCGCTGGCACAGCTAGTGATTATATAAGTGTGAACCTTATTTAGATAATGTAAAAAGAGTTTTATTTGTAGGAATTTCATGTAGCATTCTTATATTTCCAAATTTTCAGATTGTGCACATCAATGTTGGAAATGGAGAAATAATAAAAGAAATACATGAATCTGCCAGCCCAATTCTCTCCATGTTAGCTCTTCCAAATAGCCTATATATTGTTGGAAGGCAAGATGGGAATTGTACTGTGCTGTCTTTACAAGATATGTATTTCTCAACACGGGTACAACTGACCGGATCTGATTGCGACGGGATAAGAGATCTATCCTTTAATGGAAAATGGGTGTTTGCTGGATGTCGGGATTCTTATGTGAGGAAATATGATTTCAACCAAATCAACATACATTTTAAGTGAAACTAGTGTTAATTCAGTAATATTTTAATTGTCAAAGCATTAGAAATGCACTATGTATCAAAATGTACATAATATTTAATAATTAAAAGGTGTTATTACATATGCATTTTGGTTGAAATTTCACTGATTTAAGATGGCTGTAATAATTCCTATAGCTTTGAAGTCCAAGACTTTGACTTTTATATAGCTTACACCACAGTTTCGCGTCTGAGTATATTTTTTCTTTTAAGTGCTTTTCTTCTCTTATTTTTCTGCCTGAGATACCATCTAAAAAAATAAGAATTGCGAACTATATGTACATAAATTGGTAATTGTTTTACATTTTTTTGCCATACCATTATTGTGTGTTTGTAAAATTAAATCACTTGTATGATTTATCCATTTTAACCATCTTTCGAGATTATCTATTACATTATTCAGTCCTTTACACCAAATGCGTAGTTCTTGTTGGCACAATTTTATCTGCTTTGGCTCTGCAATAAATATTATACATTAGTAGATTATACTTTTGTTTGACTACCTACTTTCATTTTGTTTCTTACTTGTCTTGTTGCCATTTATTTGCGTTCGTTTTTTCGGAGTTATAAGCCGTGATTCAATAAGTTTTATTTCTGAGTCAACGTAACAGTGGCTGACATTAATATTATTCTCACAAGCATTAGCTCCTATTGCCAGATTTTTAATTATTTCTTTTCCATGTTTTGCGTCACTTCTTGTTTTTTCAGTATCTTGTTGGTCGTAAGGTAATAAAGGCGTATCTTTCATGGTGTCATAATGTGATTTAAGATTTCTTTTAGATTTATTTTCATTTGAAAAACTTTCATTTTTATTCGTGTTTGATTCATCAAAGTTATTTAGATCATTTGTAAATGTTTCTTCGACGTATTGATTTGGTATTTGCTTTACTTCATTGAAATTTTGACGATTTGTCGTGTCCAACTGTCCAACTGTAGCTTCAATGGTAATGTTTTTATTGGAATTAAGTTTTTCCTGTCTTTGTCGTTCATCAATTGTATTCTTATATGATGCTTGTGTAGATTCCTTATCTTCTTCACATACATTAGAAAGCTCTGCCAAAAAGGTTTCATCTAAATATGCCTTACTTCTTTCTTTCATTTTATCTCTATCAGGAGAGATTGTTAGCTTTTCATCTGTTTCCTCAATAAAACCTAAGGACGTTACAGATTTGCTTGCAGAGGCCGAAATCTTTATAGTTGGAGGTAATATGTCTTCCGGCCAAGACTCATCCGCATCGGATAACAGACGCGCGTTTGGTGGTGAAAAGTTAATGTGTTTAAATAGGCTTCGTGATGAGGTAGAAGACAGTTTTTTATGAAGAAATATTCCTTCTTCTTCAAATCTGTTTGGAAAGATAAATATACGTTTAGAGACAATGAATTCATATTAGTACACGTTATAAATTATAACCTTGTTATAAATACCTCTCTTTGGCATCGACGTCTATTGTTCTTCTGATGCTTTCTAAAATAGTACAAAATATGAGATTTGAGCCGATTAATATTAAGCTTTCGAGTTACTTAATAATTACCTAAACCTATTCTACAATATTTATAATTACCGAAATTGATATTAGAAAATTTTACTTTTTTAAGGCTCTCGTCAACAGATTCTTCAACTTCACTGTGAGAATATATTGGTGTAGGATCGTCGGTAATAGGATTTCCCAATTTTTCTGCTAAAACTGTGTTGGAGGCTATTTCTTCCGAATTTAGAGTTGAATCTTGTGGAATTTCTTTGCTGTAATCTTGTTGGTGTTCTTTTTCATTTATTTTTATAACATTGTCCTTCTTTCCTTGTTCGTCATTCTGATTCCCTTTATTTGTAATATCCTCATAACTATCTTTCGCTTTTGTTAAAATTTCGTCCTCGGTTAAAGCGTGATCGGTAACATAGCTAGTGACTATGTCCGATTTAGATTCGTTACGTATAAGTTTGTCAGGCACATTTGACTTATTAAGTGATTTTAGGTCATTTTCAGACACGGTTTTAGTATTTTCAATTGTTATAATGTTATCACCTTCTACAGTCTTAGATCCATCTTTTCCTTCATTATTATTTATTATATTTAGATCTTTTTCAGTATCACTTGTTATTTCTGATAAGCTGTCATAAATTACTGATTTCATATACTCTGATATTTTTGCTGTACTCTCATAACCACAGATGTCACTAATGATGTCAGATAAGATCGCTTGCATTATATCAGTTTTAGTGACCTCACTTTCACTCCTGCCGTTAATATGATTTTCTAAATCGATTGCATTCGTTTTAATAAATGTAGGACTTGATTTATTACTGTCTATTGACATATAGCTCCCAGTTCTTGAATCATCGACTTTGCTATATATAACAGACATGCTTTCGGATTTACAGTGTTCCTAAAATTATTTTAAATATTAGGTTTAAAGTGTAAGCTATTATTTTTAAAGATTTTCTTAAAACTTACTGATACTGTTTCGATAATATCGTCTAATATATCCCATATATGTCCCTCTTGCTCCTCTAATTCTGAAATCGTTCATTATACTACATAATTAACTTAGTCTTTTACTATACAATTAAACTCTCTGTTTTCTGTACCTACCCTCCAAATCGTCGAACATAATTTTCATCTTTGCGTCTTCTAGTACTCTTGCTATCCATACAGTAACCTAGTTTTTTAAATTTAAATACATACATATAATATAATAAGACAAATGTTTGGACTTGTTTATGTAATAATTTTTGGTACCTTATCTGAAATTTCAGCTTGAATCTTTTTATTTACTCTTAGTTTCTTTCCTTTGTGTAGGAGTTGAGTAATTTCCTCATTAATTATTTCAGATAAGTTTAATAAGCTGCCAAAAAAATAAAGTTGAACCGATTAGTTGTTAGTTTTCTTTTAGAATCGAATAGAAATATTGTTGCATGTTTTTTGGTTTTCTACCTCATTTCCATTGGTATACATCCTGGCGGTGACAACTTCATAGTAATTCTATGACCAAATAGAGCGCAAAATAATTTTGCTTTACAAGTCTTTGTCTCTCTTTTTCTAGAAGTTTCAGATTTCCTTTTTCGTCTTAAAATAATTTGACTATTATCGTTACGTAAATTATACCAATATGTATTTCATAAGAATTGTAACTACCTAAAAAAAAAAAAAAAAAAAAAAGGAAAAAAAGGGAAAAAATGTCCCCCGGGGGGGGGGGGGGGGGGGGGAAAGCCCCACCCCCCCCCCCCCGGGGGGGGGGGGGGGGGGGGGGGCCCCTTTTTTTTTGGGCGCCGGGGCCCCCCCCCCCTTTTCCCCCCCCGGCCCCCCCCCCCCCCAAACCCCCCGGAAGGGGGGGGCGGGGTAAAAAACCTTTTTCAAAAAGGTTTAACAAAAATTTCGCGTTTTAAACCGTTAAAGTGTTTTATTTAAATATGTACTACTCGCGTAAACTATAGACAGTATTTACCTAGATTTTTTAATGGGTCGAGACTTGAAACAGTTAATGGCGTCGTCAATATTAATGATTGGTCTTTGATCCATAACTTGCCGTCGTAACCTGTCCACCTAGATATAGAAAATTCTTAAATATTACTTGACGTGCAATGGTATTGACTATGTAGGTACATTACCAATAAGGAACACGGAGAAGAAAACCTTTTACTCTAGTTTTTTGGACATACTTCAATTTGACACATTGGCTAAAAGTTAAAGTAGTATTTTATGTGAAACAACAGTTATACATGTGGTTAAGTTGATGTAAGATAAAATTCGCAGTCATATCATTATCAATTGAGGATGCGCTGTTGTCCTATTGCTGCTTTGATAATTAGAAATTGAATTAATCGAAATGTAAATTTTTTCACCTGACTGGATCCACACAGTAGGAGCATTGCTGCTGCTGTGTAGATGCAAAACCTAAACGTCGATATACTATGATAACCTTTACTGTCCTCATTTTCAAACGTTAAGCCTGCACGGTAAGAAAATCTGATATCTTACAAACATGCTGGGCACGGTAGGAATTGAACTCCCGTAATTATTATCTATTGCTAAAAATTAGGGGAAAGTTTACAATAGTTACCATAAAATTGGGCAACGTTTTTCCCCTATGTCTCCATGTATCTAGACATTGTCGCTTAGTTGGAACGGCGAGTTCCGCTATCCTCATCGGACATTTTAGAGATTTTCGGCGTGGCTTGGTTTTATATTTACTTCGCTTTTTGCCTTTGCAATAAGAGTTTGTAGTAGACATAGTTGATTGGCAATAAGACATACTAGGTGAAGCCGTTCTATATTTCTCGTTTCTGAAACTAATTGCCTACATTACAATTAAGTCTGGATGTATTTAAGCTTTCGCACAAAAACTACTTATCACGAATTGATTAAACTTAACATGTAACGGTTAAATTTGATTAACATAGTTATTTTATCAAAATGGTAATAAGATGGTCGGTGGAGTGGATCTTTCCACCGTAAATAGGTTTTATTGTTGATTTTATATATCTTTTGATGTATATGTTTTATAAATCCTTTATTACTTGCACGAAAGCCTTTTGAATGAGGCAGTTTCAATGTCGATATTGACTGGTTTGCACTCTTTCACATATTCAATGTATTTAGATTTTTCTTCTCGCAACTTTGCACCTTGAAGAACCTGTTTATCTATGCCAGTAGAACTCCAGAAATCAGAGAATTCCAAAGCTTCGTTATCAGATACCTCTGCGAAAAAGTCTAATGCAGATATTGTCTTAATTAAACTTTTTACAAATTTTCTAAAAGAGGCGGCGCCCAGTACATAGTTTTAATCATCAGTAATAATCAAGATAAAATGAGAGAAGGTCGAAGATAGATAAATCTAACAACAGATGTAATAAGCAAAATTATTAAAATTGGGTATAAATTCATTCTTTATAGTACCATTACACACTGCGTTTAACATTTCAGACCAAACTTGAGTTGTTTCAGTTACTACTGTGCTATCTACATATTATTCGCTACGTATACATTTTTATAAAAGTCTACCACCATGTTAGAGTTTTTGAATTAGCATGGATTGTCTCACCAGATTGATCCATGTTAAAGGTTTTTGTATGTTAAGTTTCTACGTAAAAATTTTGAGATTCCGAAAGTGTACATAATGAGTAAAAAATTACCTAAGTCATATCAAATCTAGGAGGCTCGGAGCATTTAACAAATCATCAAGTAAACTATAATGGTTTGTGTAGAGCAGAACAAATTTTAATTACCTAACAATGTTGTTCATAATAAGAACATAGTTGTTTCAATACAGAAAAGTCATACTTCGCGCCAATAGTTTAAACGATCGAATTGTGTGGTTTCCTGTATTAAGTCTGTGGTTAGTGCTTGAACGATGACAATTGACTATCGTAAGTTTTGACGTTTCAAAGAACTGTCATTTATGTCAATAGTACTTTACTATTAGACTTCTCATCTGTTGCGATTCGCAAACAAAACAAACAATGCATCTCAAATATCAATGATTCATTCACATGTTCGCTGTACGTAATGTTATTCGTCTCTATTCTCTCAACGTTAAATCATTCACAATTCTCACGCTTTAACAAGTGAGCGCGGAAGTTGTGTTGTTTTTAATACTCGTAATCTCGCTATTTTAAAATTGACTCTGCATTTTTAAAGCTAAAATGAACCCCGAGTCTTGAGTACGCTCATTAAAACGAGTTCGTTGCCCTGTAAATCGGTTACAGTTAGATGAAAAGACCATTATTATAGTGCATTTTGGACAAAAGAATTGTAAAGATGTGGTCGCATCTAGAACGTGGCAGTTCACCTGTGGATTGGTGCGAATCCAATTATTCCATAACACCCATGATAGCAGAGTTTGTAAATACTGTAAGTATCTATTTTATACATAAATATATATTAAATAGTAAACTTTGAATGTCTTAAAATTTCGAAAACTTTACAAAATATTATATTTTTTATCTTAATGTTATTTCCCCTTAATTAATTATAAAAAACTAAACTTCGAAATATCTCATTTGAAACTACTAAAATTGTTTATAAATAAAATTGTATTACAAATCTAATTTCAACTGTCATTTAGGCATATGGATACAGTTGTTACGCGAAAAATTATTTTGCAAACTACTTTGCAGAATCGCTGAATTCAAGGTTGATAAGATAATAATAGTAAAAATAAATGCTCATAAATATTACCATTATCTTTTTTATTTTATAATGCCAAATTTATCTTATTGTCTGTAGCCATAGAATGTAAATATATCTATGAAATATATTTTCAGATTAGCAATGTATTGTTCTTCTTACTGCCTCCAGTATTGATCCACCTTTTTCAAGGATATGCGAAGTTTTTCAACCCCGCCATTAATGTACTTTGGGTGCTTCTAATGGTTGTTGGGATAAGTTCTGCATACTTCCATGCTACATTGAGTCTAGTGGGTAAGTGTTCTCAGTTTTTACGCAATTTCTGTTTCAAGAAATTGTTACGCGCGGTTTTGTTTCGGAATAAATCACGTACTTACACTAAAATTTTTGAACCATGGTTTGTGATCGAAGTCTCAACATGGCTTTCACAACGCTTTAATAGAACCTATATTACATAATTAATTGTGACTAAGCTTATTTTTATGTTAATGTTACGAAGTTAGTTTTTTAAATGTTTAATACTGTACGCGAGTAGTACACATTTAGATAATTAATACAATAAAAAACCATTGATTAGCTTTTATCTTTTTTTTATATTTTAGGTCAACTTCTTGATGAATTGGCAATACTATGGGTCTTCATGGCTGCATTTGCAACGTTCTTTCCGAAAAGATATTTTCCGAAATTCTTAGGAGGTAACAGGTAATTATTGTCTTAATTATATGCATATAGCTTCTAAGCGAGTTTAACTGCTTTACTCCAAATCTAAATAAATCATTAATTTATGAATGGATTTATACCGTACAAATAATGGAAAAGACAGTTATATGAAAGTATCTTATCTAGATATACAGATAATACAAGTATTCCCGTGTTAAACATTCACGGAAAATACCGTCTCAGTTTTCACGCGTTACAACGATTTGCGTGATTGTATTTATTTTCTTTCTCACGCACAAAAGATATTTGATATAAAATGACCGATTTTGCCAGTAATTTGTTGAAATGCCACAAAAACTTTTTTTTTACTAATAGTATTGAGGTTGTTTTTTTCACTTGTTAGTCGTTACAATAAATGTTTAGGTTTTGTTTTATAATTATAAGTGTTCGACATTAGGAGCCGATGATAAAATCGAAAAACAAACGAAGACATAACATAAAACGCGGCCCTGAACTCGTAATTCATAAAAGCAAGGGGCTTTTAATGTAATGAACAAACAATACATTCTCTAGCGACAGCGAATCTCAAACTCTCGTAAAGTTTAAGTAAAATACTTTAACGGATTAAAACGCGATATACATATTACTTAAACTTATTTGAAAATCATTTTAACTACGGCCCGGCGTTTCGGATGTTTTTTTTAATAATTTTCAAATAAGTTTAACTAATATAGGTATATCCCGTTAAACTGTTTTTTTTTAATGTGTACCACTCGCGTACTCTCGTAAAGTTCATCAACCACTCAACCACAATGACTAATACCTATCTAGATTCTGTAATTGTTATTACCGTTATATACCCAATTTAATACTGGGTGATAACAATCGCGTGATTGAATCGTTAATTATGCTGAATCGTTTATTTTGTTTCGAAGGCTGGATTTAACAATGAAAGCCTGTACGTGTTTATCTTTGGCTCATTCGCAAACATGTTCTTTCAATTGTAGCTTATCCACGTTATAACGAATTAATAGAACAATAGCCTTCTGTGAACGGAATTCAGTGCAACCTGGATATAACAAGAAAATATTCGTTATATCAAGTAATTCGTTGAACTGAAGTTTGCTATGCTATGAGGTAAAATAATAGTTTTATTCACCTCAACATTACTCTTATTAGTCTTTGAACTCGCATGATTTAAATCTTTTACTGTTTACATTGAAACCACTTTCTTCTGAAAACTTATCTATACATTTTAAAATTGTAGCCAATGTACTTGCGGGAATCCTGAACTTATTAGCTATGTCAAATTTTTTCGTCATGGGATTTTGGACAACATAATTAATATTGTTTCGCTTTTCTGCAACCGATAAGGAACACCTTTTACGTTTCTGAGCAATTTTAACTTAAATCTTTAACAATAGTGACGAGCAGAGGTGTTTACATTACATTGAAAACAACAATGATTACTTTACATTATAAAGGTTTGTTGTTGAAAAGTTGGCAAAATTTGTTAATTAGAGGTATGAATACTTTTTCTTGATAGTTGAAAATTCGTTATAAAGAGGTTGTACGCAAATAATGTTTGCAAGGTAAAGGTATATTTAAATTGACTCTTATGGACAATTCAAGGGGATTACGAAGAATTTGTTAAATCGAGGAAGTCGTTATATTGAGGTTCGTTATATTAAAATAATGAAATACTCCCCCCAAAAAAAAAAAAAAAAAGGGGGGGTTTTTTTTTTTAAACGCGCTAATCAGAAGAACTACTAGTTCTAATTAAAAACTGTTAATTGGACCATTTATCGAGAAAAGCTATTGTGGAAGTAAAGAAAATGTGGAAAAAAAAAAAGAAAATTATTCATTTGATGGCTTCCGCTGCGAAAACGTTTCAGAAAACCGAAATAATATTTATGAAAAATGATTCTTCTTTAAAATTATCTCAAAAAATATCCGCGACAGTATATATCTAACTATCAAGATTAACTCGTAAGACGACGACGTGGGTAACAGCTATAATTAAAAAAAGGGGGGAAATTGTTTGCAGAAACAAATCTTATGATGCTTAAAATAACTATTTTATGCGGACAAAGTCGCGGTCACAGCTTGTCACTTAAAGATTTTAGACCCTTTTATTAGGAATATCCAATATTTTGTTCAGTTCGTGAATAAACAAGTCTAAGTACACTCAGTGCCGTGCGTGCATACGTACTTAGATAACATTTGAACTATAAATGTACTATTTGACGGTCTTTGAATTAGGTAATGGGCCTACAATTGCTCGAGACCTGATAAGAATGGATAAGTATTCCGGCCTTTACATTGATAAGGCGCGTGGGGCGAATTTATTACTATTAGCAAATTTGTAACCCCACAAGGACATGTAGGTCTTAAACATCTTTTTCTAACTAGCTTTGTCTCGCGTAAAATAGTTACTTTTGGCATCCAAATTTGTTTTGCACACCTCTACATCTTTATAAATTTAAGCTGCCCACGACATTTGTCACGTCCCGTTTGCGACCTGTCGTTCAAGTCCTGTCGTTCTTGCATTTTTCCTAGTCAGACATTTTTTTTAGATTATTTAAAGAAGAATCATTCTTTTATTCATATTTTTTTTTGTGTCTTGAACCGTTTTCGCAGCGTGCGCATCTGAAACTCACAGAGATGAAAAATTTCCCCCGTTTTGTTCACATTTCTCTCTATCTTCCTCTAAATTCCCCTTTATCTTCGCTTCTATTAGTCACACCGAGATGTTTTATTGCCGTAGATAAATGCTCTAACAACACAAAACGAATTTTTCAATTTGAACCCGTAGTTCCTAAGATAAACGCGTTCAAACTACATACTTGTTCGAAAACTTCTTTTTTCTGGGTTTCCGTTGCGAACGATTCAAGATACCCAAAAATCTATAAAAGAGTGATTCCTTTTTAAATTATCTAAAAAACTGTCCGGGATATTATATGCCTACGGACGCGACCGACGTCGTGGGTAACAGCTTAAAATAAAAATGAGCAGACGACGTCGTTGACACAGCCAGTATAAACTATTCTGTTCTAGTAAAATTTTGACTTTACCTTAAAAGTAAAGCAAATATAATAGTCTTAGACTTAACAAAGACATATGGCGCAAATATAAAGTCTAGATCTGTGGAAATTATATTAGGAAGTGTTATTATTTCAATTTACTTTGTAGTATGATCATATGATGCATGTGATTAAGATAAGTTGATTAGTTTATTAATTTTATTAATGAATATAAAATTCTCAAAAACGATTAATACAGTATATATTTTTATCATTAGTGCATTAAAGATATTTTGAATTCAACCAGCATATGCAAAAAGTATATAAATCGCGCTTCAAGTCATTAACTTACAAAAACCATCTTTTAGTTAGGTGCTATACAATAGTATAGTTCGTTGTCAAACCGCACGGCGTAATAAAACGTTTTTACTGCGATTAAATGTGACGTAGCTTGCAAAATACCGCGTAGTAACTCTTTGTCTTATTTAATAACAAACAATGACCAGTTGCTATACAAAAAAAAGGTTAAATCTAATTGTTCACTGTGACTATATCCCCTATGGGCTCATTGGTCTAGGGGTAGCAATCTATGGCTTATAATCGACGGGCCGTAAGTTCGAGTATATTTTTTTAATACATGTTAAACGACGACACTAAATCGGGAAGTGTGGTTAAAATATCGAATAAGACATCCGGATCATCAACCAATCCACAGATGGAACAGCAGTGATATTAAAATTTTTGAATCTATTTGACTCTATGGATTTCCGACTATACAAAAAGGGCAACAGCACATCTTGTTCATTGTTAGTGAACCTCGTGCTTCCTATCATAAAAAAACCTTTCATCCAAGATTAAATCTCTGTCTGTATGTTTCGATCACAAAAAGCGCTTAACAGATAGATATTATTAAAAGAAAGTGTGCAATCTCTAGAACACAGTAGCTAGTTTTATTATCTTCAGGAGTATAAGAATTTTGCGTGTTATATTTTAACGAGTAAAACCCAAAATATGGAAACATTTGAGAAATCGCTTATAGGAGAAAATAATACGAAACGGTTACAAAATGTGTGCCAGTTTTGAAATATACCATTTTGAAATGCCATAAATGCGATAACAACGTTATGGTCACCGGTTCTGTGTAACTTCACTTGATATTGTGTTTTTGTAACGAGATTTTTATCGAATTTTGTATATGGAATGTATTCTGTGTACGCAAAACAAACTATTTAAACAGAAAGTACGCGACTGAAATATTTTACATCAAAACAATAAATAAAAGGTTACGAAAAAGAACTTAAGTAACGACCTTGTTATACTTAAGTTTTACTTTCATTCACTAAATAAATATGTCGCATTATTATCGCATACTTGCTACTATTTTTTCCGATTAGTTATATATTTATTAGTTATATTATTAGTTAGTAGTAAAAATACTAGCTGTGCCCGCGACATCGTCCTCATGCAATAGTGACTTGTTTGTTTATTAATTTATGTAAGGGCGCATTTAAGGCAGCCAATCTTTGCCGCAACACCCATTCCTACACTCATTCCCACTCCTATTTAGATAGGAAGTTTTATTGTTTTAGCTTCAAAAAACTACGAATTTCTATACAATTTTTCACCCAAAGCCCCCCCCCCCCCCTAACCTTACAACCCCCTATTCTCAATAAAAAGCCTATGTCTTTGCTCAGGGTCTAAGCAGGAAATTTCGCCCGAAAAATAAGAAAATACCCAGATGAAAACGCCGCCAAATCTAATCGCGTTTCGGTTTCAGCCTGTGGATTTCCGAATATCCAGAGCTAAAATAGGTCAACAGCGCATCTTGTTTAGATGTTATATGGCTGGGGTATTTACCCATCAAGAGAACCCCATGCCTGTCTACCCTCCTCTATAAAGAAGAGTGCTGAGGGCAGACTGGCATGGATTCCCTCTATAGATTCTTACTCTTAGTCTTTTGATAAAACTGTGTTATTCTCATGTACAGTACTATTCTTTGGTAGATCTTAATCAAAATATTATTAAAGACTATACCCAAATTCTTGTATTTGTGTCTTATTTGTAGTTCGTGTAAGTATTAATGCAATTAATATCCATTTTCACAATTCCAGGAGAGTGCTAGCTTTCTACGCTAGCGTATTTTCCGTGGTGTCCACAGGGTTCCTCGTTATGCATCCAAAGGCCAATGCGTTCGCTTTAATGACTCTTGCGCTGCCGGCTCTTGTTTTTCTTTGCAAGGAGTTAAATAGGTAAGTTTACGAAAAGAATAAAAATCAGTAACTTGCATTTATTTTAATTTATACTATGTACCTTTGTTTTTCTATATATTCATAATTTTGCCGTTGATTTCAGAGTAAAATGTCCGCGAGTCTACCGTCTGGGTCTCCGTTGCGTTGCTGTGAGTCTCCTCGCCATGTTTTGCTGGATAACTGACAGAATGTTCTGTGATGCTTGGCTCTACATCGACTTTCCGTACCTACATGGTGCTTGGCACATTCTCATTTTCATCGCCAGCTACACAGCTCTAGTTCTATTCGCCTACTTCAACGTCTCAGAGGAGAGGCCCGAACAGAAACCTCAGCTGAAGTACTGGCCGAGAAACGACTTCGAACTCGGCATACCATACATAACAATAAAACATCCGTACAAGAAAGACGACTTAGCCATTTAATGTGGGTAGAATTTTTTACAGAATGAGGGTAGAAATACCTGTATGAGTCTGTATGCTGCAATTTTGTGATTGTATAGTCAATCTGTGATGTATAGATATATAGTGAGTGCAATGTAATTTGTAAGTTTACAAATATTTATATTTTTTTAACCGTAGGTTTGAGTATTTTATTAAGATCTTATAATTTAATATCGCATTTTATTTACAAGATATATTTTTATTCAATCTTATATGAAGGATGATTTGAACGAAATATGCATATTTATACATAGTTGGTTTTGTATGCTTCGAGAGTAGTGTGGTTTTACTAAAAATTCGCTTTTTTATAATCATACCATAAACAAATTGTCTACGGGTTCGCGGCCATTTTGTAAAGTTGCTTGGGTTTAAAAGTTTAACGCAAACTTTTCAATACGGCCGAACAGCTGCTAAACGCTATACAACATATTATTTACTTTGCTTTGGAGTTTTAGGAATAGGCAAGTTACTAAATAATATAACAATTATACATGCTACCAACCAATTAAACTTTTAGGAAAGCACTAAAATTCGCATAACAACAGTGAAAAACATGACTTATTTAATAGTAATAGATATAAACAAAATTAATGTTAGTATGTAATTTGAGATAAAAATTAATAAAGTGAATTAAAATGTATAAATTACTTTAATTTATAATAATAAAATGTAATATTTCCAGTCAAATAAACATTTTGTAGAATGAAATAAGAACTAGCCGTTTTTAATAAATCTTTATTGTAAAAAACAAATTGATATCAGTTGGCAAGATAAAATTGCTAGAAAAATAAACATGAATCTTGTGCACATACATCAACAGTACTGTGAAATATAACATTTCTTATATCAAATATTTCTTAATAAGCTAGATTAAGTATAAAAATGGAATGGCCTCTTTACATTGGCATTATAAAAATATCAGATTCATTTATTCGATCACTTCCTAGTCAATTTCCACCACCACAGCCATATGACTGACAAATTTACATAACAAGTAAATTATCTATATGTGTTATACTAATTTACATATTTACAAGAATATGGGACAAAACTTTTTATTACATATTATTGAAACGTTAAAATATCTAGAACATTACTATAATCTTATACATAAAAGAGAAAATAGGCCTCTTAAAAAGTATTATAGGATTTTATAGAAACACATGAAATATGTAAATTATATACATTCAATGGGGTGGCAGTATGACATATATTTCTGATCATGTTACTTCTTAATCAGAATCAGAAGACACATGGTTGTGGTTTCCTGGATGAAGATTAGATGAATCTGCCTTCTTGCGAGGGAATGTTGACCCTCCGCGGTAAACAACGTGATTCTTTTCAGTCTCGAGTATTTTCACTTCATGTAGCAGTTGCGGTCTTGGCATTAATTTTTGGAGTTGGTCCCATATGAAAATTGCCAAATTTTCTGTGGTACTCACCTGAAATAATTTTAAATTATCTTTTCAACAGTAATTATTGTCTGTGATAGTAGTTTTTTTTTAACAAGTCTTAATACAGTGCAATGTCTTTATTCATGATGGATGGGAATTATACTCAAACTATATTTATTAAATCAGTTCAAATGAAAAATTCATAGATAGGGATTTCTATAAGCATTGATCATTTCATACATGTTTTTTCTATTGGAATAACATTTATACTAATGAATTCATTTACCAAGATCGGGGTAAGGACACTTACCACTGCTTTAAAATATGGTACATCCTGGTCCAAATTCTTGTGGTCTAGTGGGTCCATAATACCTTCCTTCATATACTGCTTCAGATCATGAACATTCATCACCATGCCAGTTTGAGGATCAACTGGACCTTTGACAGTCACAAGTACTGAAAGAAAAATAATTGAGGAGTGAAATTATAAAAAAGACTAATTATATAATTAACCAGAACAATATTTGAAGCATATACCTGTTACAAGTTAACTTCGAAATTATTTGTATTTAAAATTTACATTAATAAATGTCAAAAGAAATATGAATAAAACAAGTTTCATGTATCAAATTATACAAACTGGGTATTATTCATTCAAGCATGTTACAAGAATACATCATAATAAATGAAAGTTATTGCTTTAACATTCTTACTTCATAAATGATTAGTTAAAGGCTTTTTATTACCAACATAGTTGTGTCCATGCCCATTTGGATTGTTACATTTTCCATATAGTTTTTTGTTTTCTTCATCACCCAGAAAAGGGCTGGAAATAATAATTGAAAGGAGTTATCATAGAAAAATAGATAAAAGGTTAAAGGTAAATAATAATAACAACAAACTGTAACCAGCTGTCTATTATAAATTAACCAATTACATGATAACGAAATGATTATATCCATTATTACAAACAAATTGTGCAACATTAAAAAAAACCAGTTACTTAGAATGTAATATTATATTCAACGAACCTGTGTAAGCGGTGGCAGGAACTAAAAGTTTCTCTTCTTGTAATTGAGACTATTGGTAGGGAAGACATGACTTCAGTACGAAAAGCAAAAGTAATATTTAAACTGAATTAAGTTATATTTAAAATTTCGAATAGGAACGAATAATAATACGACCCAATCACAGAATACAACTTCGAAAACTGATTCAACAATGAACACTGTCCGATTAAAATAAATATTATTTATTATTGTCAACGTCATGACTTTTAACAAGAGCTGTCATATGTACATTTGACAGTTCCTAGGTAAAAGTGACAATTCGTAAACAATATTTGACAATAGTAAATTAAGTAGTATCAGATTTTAGTGGGCGAGTTTTTGTTTTGACTAGGTATCGTCTTATTTATGTAGTTTTTTGAAGATTTCTTTTATTCGCGTATTTCGTTTCGTTGATAACAAATCATCATTTAAGTTAAGAGAATATAATATCATTAGTAATTATTATGATATTTCGTGCTTAATAACAATGCATTTTTCTATTCCTGATTTACAACAATATCGAGATGACAACGGACTTACTTATACGGTAAGTAATGCCTTTATTATGCGATAACACAGCCTTGTTTATTAATTATTTATCTCCGTTATGCGTCTTTACCGCAAATTACACAAATTATTATTAACATATGGCGTAGCTAACGATGTCTTTAACAGTTTTCATTATTTTCAAGGGCTATAACATCCACATTGATGGATTTTTTCACTGCACAGCGCGCTTTAAACAGCTGCTTAGTCTGCACGAGCAATTGCAGGCACAATATCCCTTTTTAAAGCTACCACAGTTTCCACCTAAAAAGCTTTTTCTAACAAGTTCACAATTGGAAGAGAGGAGAGTACTCTTAGAGAAATATATACAACTTGGTGAGTAAATCTCAATTTTAGGCTTAGACATAGTATACTATGACACAAAACATAATTAAAAAATATTTTAACATTTCTGTATCTCTTTTGCAGTGGGCCAAAATCCAGTTTTATCTACCTCTGGTATATTAATGACATTTCTCTTATCTGCCCAACAAGAAACACATAATATCAAAGTACATGTTGTGGACATAGAAATCTCTTTGATGAACGGTTATAGAATACCGTTGTCTGTATCCTCAACAGATACATCAAGCACTGTATTAGAAATAGCTTGTAATTATGTAAATTTACCAAAACACTTGACAAAATTCTTTTCACTGTACTTGTTTAATTGGAGCTTTGCGAAAGATGGACAGCCAAGTTTAAAGAAATTAGAGGATTTTGAATCTCCCTATATATCTCAGAAACATGTGAGACCTGATGATAAAATTGTGTTACGGAAAAGGTATGGAACTTTAGTAAAATATAAAAATAAATTAACTAATGCTGTTTTACAAAATTTGATTTCCTATTTTAGCTATTGGGATCCCTGTTATGATAGCGATTTGATTCAAGACAGAGTTTCTATAGACTTATTATATTTACAAATAATTGAAGATATAGATTTGGGCTGGATAACAGTTGATTCTGAGACGCGGGAAGCACTTGCATCTTTTGAAACAAAAAAACAGAAGAAAGAGGTAATAAAAATATGTACAATTTCGAAATAGTTCCGCAATAGGTGTTCATTTATAATGCATTCTCACAATATATCAGCTTACACAATTATCATGATATTTATTGCTTAATGATTCAAGCATGATGTCACACACAAATAGGATGTTGTTGAACACTCTTTGTTTTAAGCCATACAATATCTCTTCTATTTTTTAGTATATTGAATTAGCAAGAACTGTAAGACAGTATGGCAGGATACCAGCAGGGGAAGCAACAACTGAAGCGGTCAATATCGGAGAAATGGGTGGAACGATGATAAGAGTTCATGTATCACTAGCCTCTAAGGAACTAACACTCACTAGTGTCACAAATCCATGTCATGAACAAAGATATAAAGTTACAAGGATGAGGTGCTGGAGGATTACAACTTTACATTCCGTGAGTTAAAACTTCTATCCACTATGGTTCATGCGACATACATATCACTGTGTCTAAGAAGGTAATCAGAATCCAATGCCATACCCACTCAGAACAAATTTTCTTTATATCTCTTAGTTTCAAATCCAGGACCTATAATTAATGCAAGTCTCTGCAATATATTTTAGTACTGGGCGTTGTAGGCAGCCGATTGAACCAACACATTCAATATTGTATGCAAAATACCCATACTAATTATACTGCAAACAATTTATCAAATTTAAAAATAACACTGCATTATCTTAATAGCTCTAAAAATAATATTTGGTTTTCTTTTTAGCTAAGTTTTAATAATATTTCCTTGTAATTTTTGGTAGTGTTTACTCAACTCATATCTTTTAAAGGTTACAATTTGACCTAGAGTTAAAATTTAGCATAGTAACTTGTAGCTTGATGTATAAGGTTGTTATTTCTGCGTTTACAGATTGATAGACAAATAAATGGTCATAGTTCTTTACTGGAGGAACCCAGCAAGAATTTTGAGCTCTCTTTTGAATATCTACTAAGCAAGGACAATCTAGTTTGGGTCACATTGAAAACTGAGAATGCTATATTTATAAGTGTTTGCTTACAGGTGAGTTATGAAAACATGACTGACATTTGTCAGATACTACCATACAATTAAATTTTTACAACCATTTTAACACAACTTGACATTGAAATTGACTAACAATGAAACCCGTTTAGTTGTTTATGAAAAACCTTGAAAATAACTTAAAAACTTTCATAAACTTCATGTAAAATACTGTCTATAGTTTATGCGAGTAGTACACATTTAAATAAAACACTAACGGTTTTTGGGAATGATTTTTAACTTCGTCGTGAGTCTCCCCGTGACCACGGCTGCTGCAAGGCATCCGAAACTAATATATCGCCTTTTAAACCGTTAAAGTGTTTTATTTAAATTTCATGTAACTTACACTTTTTTAAGGAAAGGTCAATGTTTCTGTGTAAAATATTATGTAGCTTCTCCAGGTTATTGGGCAGCATAGAAATAAATTAATGATAAAACAAACAAGTCTTAAGTTTTACATATTAGTTACAGTTATTAGATTTGCAATTACAAGTCATGTCATGAAATCCCTTTCCCCTCATGGGGCGAACACATTTCCGCGGCCGTTTCACTGAAATTCAAGCATCCGATCAAGCTGTGCCCTTCTTGATCGACTTGGAATTGAACTTAACGCAATGTTAGGCAACACGTTTAACTATTAAGCATAGGTGGTCTAGAATTTACAAGGACATAGTCTTAATGTTTGCAATTTATAAATCTAAGTTCCACGTATGTTTTATTCCAGTCAATAGTAGATGAGTTGATGCGTCAGAAAAATGGTGAAGGGCCGACGTCACCGCGGTGCAAACGCGCCAGCCTAACTTACTTGCGACGAGACGGCTCGAGTCAATTGATAACACCTTCATCTTCCAGCGATACACTTAGTTCTGTGGTAAGTCGTTGTATTATTATATTTATTGAAACTGCGGGGAACATACGTGAATATAGACCTTAAAAATATACAGGCGTTGTAGCTCTTGTACAATACTTTACTGAGAAAATTTGATTTAAAAAATTAATATATACCTACATGAAGCCGCTAGAGGGAGATTAGCCTAACTGTAATTGTAAGACTGGACTTATTTATATTTTAATAGTCTTAAAATGTTAATCTACAAGAGCACAGTGACCGAAAATTGTGAACATAATTCTTACACAAATAACTTAATTGCGCATTTTTATTTTCCTCCTTATTGAAAATCACGTTTTTTGTTTTTAGGCCACTTTGCCTCAACCAACCTCATATATATATATATATTTTTTTCTTTTTATGTTTTTTTAAATGTATATTTCAATTATCTTAAGGTGGTTCCAAATTGTAACTTGTTGCTTAAAATATTTTTTTTTTTTTTTTTTCCAGCAAAAAAAATTACATAATTTAAGTAATTGCTTAAAACCCTGAGAATGCTACATGCATGAAGACTTATGAAACCTTGAAGTATATAATGATTGTAATTATGATTATTTGCTGAACGTGCAATATTTTACATTTCAGAATGGAGATTCCTGCACGTCAGGTAGCTCACGCGAAATATTCTCAGTACAGAAGTTGACTGAAAAATTTGCATCTGTAGCTTTCAAGACGGGAAAGGACTGCGTTGAAAATAATGCCTTTGAGGCTATAGGCGATGAAGAGCTGTAATTATATACAGATTTTACATAAGTATATATAGGGTAGCTACAACAGAAATAATTAGAGAGCTATAACTTTTTTTTATTATAAAGTACAGATAAATTGTGAAAATACTCGAGACTATATAAAATCTGAACATGATATGATTGACTTATTCTTGCTTCGGATAGTCGGAAAACCACAAACTGATACCCAAAACGCGATTAACTTCAGGGCTTTTTCATCTGATTCCATTAAAGCTACTAAACTATATAAGGCAGAACTGTTCTAATAAGTTGAAAAATAATATGTAACTGTTGTCGAAATTTTGTTTTTACAGAGGTGCATATAAATAAATACTAAGTACTAACTATCATAATAACAGATGTTGCAAGGTAGGGAAAGGTGACGCTGTTAGGTCCCGCCTGTTTAATTGATTTATTTCACGTAAAATAATTTTATAAATTTATTTTAATTTACATTAATTTCGTTACGTTCGTTTTTAAAATGTAACTTGGGCCCATTTTTAGTAGTCATGCTAATTTGTAAATAATTGCATTGCTATATTATTTTTCTTCCCAACCACTACGTTATTTATATAGATCCCTGATATTAATACTGCTGTAGCTACCCTTTGAAACTATCATCAATAACTTTAAGAGGTAATTTAGAATCTGCAATTTATTGTTGCAAACCTTAACTCTACAACACCGTTGTATTGTTTTACGTCTCCCTTCTGTCCTTAGCTTTAAAAAGATTTCTCGAATGTCCAAAGACACTTTCAAAATTTTGTGGCCAACGTTGTAAATATTATACGTATATAAACATAGATTACGTTTTATATGTACAGACCTGGTTTAGAAAGCTAAGTAGGTGTAATTTATAAATAAATATGGCTATGATCATTTCACAATGTTATTTCGTCACTAATCGTCCAGCCATTGACTTGCCATATTTTATATCGAATTTATTATTATACTGTCTGTATATCATTGTACATTTTAGATCTATGTCGTGTATTTTAATTTTCTAGGCTAAAATTTAATCGAATTTGAAACATATTTTATCAGACTGTGCGAGGACCTTATCTTCAATTTAGTGTGTTTGAAATAAATTGTGTATATTATATACAGTAGAATCTCATGAAATCTATATATTTAGTTCTTCAATAGACCGACACGTCCAATAATTCTACTTACTTGCTTCCTGACGCCTTCCTTCGTCGTCGCACACTGTAGCCATGCGGTTTATTTAGGTATGTTAAGCAACCTATGCCAAAATTTGCACGAGATGTAAATAATTCTAACAACCCTGAATTTCTTTGTCAAATATTACATTTTATTTACATATTATGATTTATCATATACAATTCAGTTATTGTTGTCATTTAGCACTATTGTTTTAAAACATACTGAATAAGTGAGATTCTACAGTACTTTAAGCAAGATTTTTATAGTTTGAATACCAGAGCAACATGATAAAAGTTTTGTGCCAATTTTGATCTGATGATTAATTTTATTTTTAGTGTCTATAGAACAATGTGTATGAAAAATAATGAAATTAGAAGCTTTAAATGTATCACAAGAATTATTTTTAATGTAATAAGTAATATTTAAAGCAACGAAGTAACAACTACAGTCCATTCTGTGAGGCTTCACCTATCTTGTTGGTGGAAATCCAAACATAGATTTTAATGCGAATAATTTAAGACCTAATCTACGGCTTCTCAAAATTGTCTACTCTTCAAAACAACATAAAGATGATTTAAATTGTTTTGAAAAGACTGTTATGTTACTTGTAAATTTTATCTTTATAAAGTTTTTAAAGCCATACCTATTTCTGATTACTTTATATTGTTTCGTAATATAATTAAGCTAGAATATTTTTTTATATGATCAACTAATTTTATCTTAATGTAAACACATTAAATCTTAACTTTTTTATATCATTTACAAAGAATGGTCAACATATCAATATTGTAATTATTATATCTGGCTTTTGTTACTTTTATTTATATATATCAATATACAATTAGTATATCAATAAAATGTACATACTTGTTATTAACATTTAAAGTCACAAGTTCAAAATTCTAATGATCAAAATCTATATGAATCTCTCTAACATATTTTTTTTTAATTTTTAACAAAAACTGTCTTTATTTATTAGAACAATTTCTGATTTCTTTACTGTAATGGCAATAGCACTGAGTTCATAATTAAGATACCTTTTAATAGTGTATAGTACTGTGTTGTATTGACAATTCTGTATTTATTGCACATTATGTTTTACTATAATTTTTGTAAAATAATAAAAAAGAAGGGTGTTAAGAACAATATTTATTAACTTTCTTTTGTAACATGTGATTTGTATATTATTATATTAAAATTATAATTGGCAAACAATAAAAAATTACTGCATAATAAATTAAATCATTTTATTGATTGCTGAATTGTTTTACTTAAGACACTACATAGACTTGCACTAGTTATACTTAAATTAGTAATCCTTTTCCCATTTCTCTCGTTCAAGCCTCTCCTTCTTCACTTGATCTACGATAGGGGTCAAGTAAAGTTTGTCTTCTTCAAATTTTGTCCACTCTTCTTTTGGTAAAATTGTTTTTGTCATGGACAACTGAATAGCTCTTACCATGCGGTAATTGCGCTCGTCCACTACATGCTCTGGAAGGCGGCGTAGCGCTTCTTTGACGTCCTCGGTTTCATGAAGACAATCATCACGAAGTAACCCTTAAAAACAGTTCCATGATAAAATCTTAATTTATTCCTTACAATGAAGTAATGTTCTGGGGATATAATAGCACTTGTATATATTTACCGTATTTATTAAATCCAGCAAGGTTGTAACACCACTTCCTCAGGCTGTCTGAAAGAGGAGATCTGTTATATAATTAAGACATATTAAAATACCTGATTTGAAGATATTATGATACTTACTGTTGTAAAGGACTTTGGTCGTGCGTAACGCCATGATTTATAATATTGTGAAACTAACAATGTGAAATACTTTTAAAACAGTGAATTTTACGTTTTACGCCAAAAATATGGAATCAATGGAAATGGATTACAATTTGCAAATTGCAGGATTATGTCAAAGTGACAATTAACATATTATCCACAGGTTAAAAATAAATTGGAGCAATTTTACAGCATGGCTAAAATTTATTTTATTCACCTTTCTATTTTTCTAGATTTTCATTAGCTCGGTTTGATTATATATAAGGAATATATTAAGCCAATTTTTTTAAAAAGTACGTATTAATTTTTTTTACGACGAAATGAGAACCGTTGGAGATGGAGTTCACTCGATGATAATTAATAAGTGAAATACCCCAGTCTCATAAGCTTTAAACAAAATCCACTGTCTATCAATCCTTTCATTTTCGGAAATCCACAAATTGACATTTAAACGTGATTAAACTTCACGGCTTTTTTCGTTATTCCTTCAACTCCTTTAATATCCAGATTCCCAGGCGAAGACCAACACAGAAAAGACATACAACTTATTTGAAACATGTTGAACCATTGTTCGACGGGTCGTAAGTTCGATCCTCACCGAACCTGCGACCCTGTTGATGAAATCATACATTGCTACCAGCCACTACACCAACGAACCCGCCGAAAAAAAAGATTGACGTTGGCATTGATGTGTAACTGTCATTTTTATATATTATAGAGTATAATTCTCATAATATTTTTTTGTTTATTAGAGCTAAATCATACGTCTTTATTTGTTATGTAATATATCTATCATCTCAAAATCATTTGACGCTCTTGAAAATTCAATAAATGAAGTAAAAAGTATTGTACATATTTGCCAAGTCTGTTGCTACCAGACTGACAACACGCAACAGCACATATTATAAACATTAACACGTATGTATATCGCTCTATATCTTCACGCATAGTGCGTGCTACTATTATTTTACCAAGCAAAATGTAACCAAGCCGGAATAACTTTATTTCCAGCCACACGACAATCGAAGATAAGAGTTCGCTCGTGGGCGAATCGTGTCTCTTATCAGACTTATTTACTTGCCACTTTAGAAGTGAACTTAGCATGCCCTCGCTCGACCCCTCAGTTCCTTGGCCCGCTTATCATTATCAGCGTGAATAAAATGAAGCGACGGAAGGTAATTATTTCATATTTCGTTTTGCCGTCGTACACTTCTAACTGCGACATTCGATATAATCAGTTGTCTTAAACTCCTTAACTATTGTACCTTGCGTGTTACGATTTAGTTTTAACTCTCGCTGAATTGTGATTTTTCTGTTAAACCTGTATTCAAGAGAAGGAATGCCAAGTGACTGTCGAGACTGTTTGGGGATTCGTTTTCGAATTAACGCCCTGCATCAAACCTGGAAGTGGTTGCATCAAACAATCGCTCTACATGAATATCTGATCTCCCTCTCGTCCGCAGATACAGACGCTTGCCCTGCCACCAAGTGCTAAGTGCCAGTGTACCAGACTGTAGCTAAAGAACATATTTTAGTATAAATTGTAAGTGTGTAGAACTGAAAATCTCATTCGTATAGAAAAGTATCTGTTAATTGATATCAAAAATGGCCCAAATGATGAGGAAGTTTGTTGTGAGCAACATGTGTGTTGTCGTTGGTCTCACTAGAAGATCAAGTGCCAGGAGTTTAGCTACTGGCAAAACAATGCCTGTTAAGAAACCTGACTTGCCACCTGAGGGGGAGATCACAAAATCGGTGTTCATGTCTCAGTCAACTGACATTTATACAAATCTGGCAATGGAGGACTGGATGTACCGTAACATGGACTTTTCTAATCATCATGTTATGATGGTATGGAGAAATGAGCCATGTGTTGTTATTGGCAGACACCAAAATCCTTGGCTGGAAGCAAATGTACCTTTCTTGGGTGAAAAGGATATTTCATTGGCACGCCGCAACAGTGGTGGCGGCACTGTGTACCATGACCGTGGCAACCTCAATATCACATTCTTCACCCACCGTGATAGATATGACAGGAAGTACAACCTGGAGATTATCAAAAGGGCACTATACAGAAGCTTTGGAATCAAATCCCTTATCAACGAGCGCCAAGATATCATTGTTAGGGACAAATATAAAGTATCCTTTTTCAATCATTTCAATTAAGTAATATTCTGTAGAGCCAGTTTTTATTTTATTTTTAAGTAGTTAAAAACCTATAAAGCATATATTTATTTCTGCAATGTTCTTGTTTTGTTTTTCTCCGTAACTTTTTACTACTTATCCGAATCATTAACTTCCTTAGCGAAGATATTAGGTGTCTGGAACAGCTGCTAAACTCGGCCGTTTATCAGCATACCATCACTGCACACTCCTAGTCAACGCCAACAAGGCTGATCTCAGCAAAGCACTTGCTAAACGAGAGGTGAGCTAAAACATCTAATTGTTAATGGTTTTTTTAGGTTTAAAAGAAATATACTAAATTTAATGAACATAGAGAGCTATGATAGTAATACATGTAACTTTTAGCCTTTTTTAATAATATAAAGAATGCATGCTTTATTTAAGTAACTGAACAATCCCTTTTTTAATCTGTATATGTATGTTAATCAATTGAAGGGACCTGTGTTGTAACTGATTTATATTTAAATTTATTCATTTATGTTAGCTGTTAGAGGTCGCATCATGCATCATGACTCATGAAATATTTGTCTTCGATAACTATTTATTGATTGTTTTGATACAAAAAAAATGCATAGATTGGGTTATAGATAAGACAGCTTAGCACAAGATTGTATGTACAAACTGGCATTAGTACAAGCGGTCTTATTGTATTAAACAATTCTTACATTACATTCTATATTAAAGTCAAATATTTTTTTTTTTTCCTTTAATCGCCTGTTGCTTTTTTTTTCCTAGTCCATTAAAATTCATCAGTCCATCAAAACCTAATTGCTTATAACTAATCAAAGTCGTAGTTTTCTCCTAACATGTTGTACCTAACCCTATCCTCTCCAATCAATCAAGTTAAGGGCGTATAATTTTATCTAGCATGGCATACAGACAACCGCGACGCCCTCCACGCCGTCTCCCGTTGCCAACTTGGCTGACCTGGACAATAGGGTGACTGTAGAGAGCCTGCAGACTGCCATCGGATATGAGTACTTGCGAACACCGGCGCTGCACATTGATGATGCTGGGGAGAGGCATATTTCAAAGCAGAGGGGCTTCCAATTTGTGAACCCTACCGAGGATTGGTATCCAGGTAAGAATATATTTATATTTTTGTTACAAACAAAGGGTTCATGCCACATATTATTTAATAAAGATTCCTGCTGGGTTAATAAAGTAAGATATTCTTACTTATTCTTTAGTTAATAACAATTTTTGATGGCACACTAACGTCGTCCTAATTTTCAGGTATTGCAGAACTTAGAGACGAGCTGACAACATGGGACTGGTGCTTTGGCAGAACACCTGAGTTTACTGTGAGTCGCTCCTTCCCAGTTCCAGCTGAACTCCTGCCGTCCAAATTATACTCGGCTACCCAGGAACTGATCATAACTATGACAGTGGAGAAGGGCCTGATCAATGACGTCACGCTCAACATTCCACCTGGCCTGATCGAATCAGGTTTCCATGGGGAGGCGTCAGTGATAACCCACCTAAAGGGCAAGCGGTTCACCTCAGAAGCGCTAGCGGCCCTCGAAGACGCGATGTTGACGCGTCACTTGACAGGCGACATCAGAAAGCTGGATGAAAAGGAGCAGTTTGTCGCAAAGTGCTTCGACCAGGTGGTCAATACTGTTTAACAGACTGTGGTTCAAAGGTGCTATGTTTTTTATGCGGTTTGTAATGTAACTGCATTTTTATATTCTTGATAGACTGTATTCGCCCCTAAATGTTTATTGTAGTCTGTCCCATTTCCCCACGAACTGCATGAAACGTGAGCGAAAGAGACAGACCTATCTATAGATATCTCATGATTATAGGCGGCTAGTATAAGTATTAAGTAAAGTACATAGATTGTTTGTGAAGCGTCTGTTTTTATCGTAAATTATATTACACGGGTCAAAGGCCTGCGATATGTAAAATTCCGTTTTGTGTATTGTCCAATAGGTTTATCTTGCTATCCGTTTACAACTTACAAACGCATTACTTAAAGTAATCATATATTTGTTTTATCGCTAGTGTTGTTTAGTTTAGTTTTATTGTAATTTGTTGCTTTGCAGTGACATCTTGTATTTATAGTGCTTAGCCACACTAAAGGAATAAAACAAATGAAGCAAGAGGAAATATGTGATTTTCTCTGGGTAAAAGAGACGGCAATAGTCGCCTTGTCTCTTTCTGGGCAATTTATTAACTGTATAATAAATACAATATGTCACTAAAAGCGACGAATAGCACGCGAATCGCACAAACGTGTCGAGCGCCACAAGAATGCATCATATCATTTGTTTTTAATTTCGTTTATGTACAGCCATAATATAGCAGTTAGCTTTTACCTAGCCGGTACTTTTCTGTATGAAGTGAACGTTAGATTGTAGTGGATATTCTTAATATTTATTATAATATTTTGTTGCTTGTAGCCTTCATTTTACCGAATTTATACTTATTTTGTGCAAATAAAGGTCTATAATGTAACAGTTTTTTTGTCTAATTACAAATCTATCTCATGTAGTAAAGTATTTCTAAAGCTTTGTGATATCTTGATTTTAACTGGAAGAGCTTTTACATTTTTTTTTCCTATTTATGAAGTAAGTTATATATTAACTTACTTATACTGGGTATATATTGCGTAACGAATTACGTAGTTCAACGCTGATTACATATACTCGCCGGTATGCAATTTTGGCGACATTTCAAGGGGAAGGCTGTTAACCAGTCTGAACAATACTCGCTGATTGCCAGTTGTATGCAGCATGACTAACACAAAATATGTTCGTGAGCGAATTGGCAACGAACAAATGGAAGTAACGTGTCCTCGCACAATAAAAACCTGCTTTGGCTCTTCCTCTCGCTTTCAGAAGAGCTGAGAGGTGGTCGATGGCCGGCGCGAAACTCACCTGAGCCAGTCCGAACGTAAACAGCGTCGTGTGCGCACCGTACGCCATATTAAATCGTCACGCGTTGCCATGACAACGCACTCAACATATTCGCGATATTAGGCGGGAAATTTGAACTTCAAGCGTTTGTGTGTGACGAATTTTGGTAAATTGATTGTTTTGAAGGAAACGTAAGTAAAGAATGCCTATAAATATTGATGTATGTTAATAATGAATTACAATAATTATTTGGGGCAATCTGAAGGTAATTAATTAGAATGTGTTATTGTCGGTATAAAAGACGGTTTTCCCTTACCAAAATGTTTATTTACTAACTTTTATCATAAATTACATTAGTTAATACAGGTAATGTCATATATGGTTTTCAAGCTCTCTCTTTGAATTTATAAAACTCTACATTTGGGCTTCAGTTTACTTTTTAGGAAAGTTCGTTGGCGATATATTCTCTTTCAATAAAATCGAGCAATATAGAATTATACATTTCTAAAATAAGAGAAGTACTGGGGTGTTAGACTAGAAAAGTAGTATAGTGTCGATACTATGGTCCGCGAAATTTTTAATACGTTGCTGGAAATAAATCAAAATCTACTCATGAAGACATTGTTTAGAATCTATGGGAAATTAAATGCTACTTAATTTCCCATGAAAACACATATCCCAACTTAAACTTGGGGAATATGTTTTCATTGGTTAGGATAAAATTATATTACCAAAATAAAATGATAATTACGATCAGAAACTTTCAACCGGTAATGTTAATTTTAACTAAGTAAGAAGAGTTGTAGCCAAGTAAACTTTAAAATTTTATATAGGTAGTGTATCTACACCTAGTATATAATTTACAAAGATCACATAAGTCAATATGTGTAAGTATTTTTTCCAAATGCAAATTAATTTAAAAGTAAGGGCATATTACAAGTAGCATCTATTTTATAACGTGTTTGTATAACGTAAATACAACTTAGAAATCGATTTTAGATTTGAAAAATTTAACGACACGGGCATGACTTGAACCGGCTTCCTCAGCCTTGCATGCTGTTGCTCTAACCAATTGTGCTACCCTGTCCTAGACGTTATCACCAATATTTTTTTTCAACTTATTGATATATGCACCTCTCGCGCAATGTAATTTCAACCTATAATAACTACATTAGGCGCAAATAAAGGCAACTTTATTACTCTTAATCTCCTCTTTGTAATCTCCTAATGCCTCTATATCTTCAATACACTCGCTGTCAATTCAATTAAGTTTATTTATCAGCCGTTTGCGCAACAAAAGAAGTCGGCGTTTGGAAATAAATAAGTAATCTTGCACATTCAAGATGGTGCAAACTCAATTTCCGGATGGTTAGTATTGACAAAAAGTATTTCAAGATGAGCTGCAGCGATAGGCCAACGGTTCTAACTTGTATCCAACGCTTAGCTAATATTACACAATAATATTTATTACGAAACGAAGATACATTAAGCAGTAAGTACTTAAACACTTAAGTGCTGTGTGTTTTCGTTTATTTGTACTTCGCTAGGTTTTACTTGCGGTTTTGTCTGTGCAATTTCATGATAATCGTTTTATGATAGCATAATCTTAATCCTGTTATCAGTGTACTGGTAGGTTTTCTGTATATATTTCTACTATAATTACTGATAAGATAAATAATATTGTAATTAACTGTGTAAAATATTGAAAATTACTCATACGTTTTATTACCCTCTGCTGGGCACGGGTTTCCTCTTTATGAGGGTGTATTTGTAGAGCTAAGACTCATCATGCTACTCCATTGTGGATTGATGGGCTTCAAGATTACATCCCCTAAAATAGTGACGATATTCGAGAATCGAGTCGTCCTTCGGGTCGCAGGAGTTACGTCACATCCTACTTCTAAACTAGTTGAAGACCACTAGACTAACCCGGCGACAAAAAAAGATATTTATTCATATAAATATTATTTAAGATTATTAAGGGATAATCAATTTCCGTTTAGAAACCAGACTTCCGTTCGCTGATGCAGTAATTGTTATCATTTGAACACAATCACGCTAATGCAATAAGTACAATCTACATAATTGCAATGTTTATGAGGTTATGCAGATTCCGTTCATCACTCAAATAAATTTACAGTTAGATCCTTTAGTTTTGTGACGTTCATAAGTGTACCCACCTACCTACATAAGTAAAAGATTTTTGAGTTTGACTGTACTCTGATATATAAAAAAAACACAACTTACGTTGACTTATGTATCCGGGATGTCTACCATCTTTAATCTCATTGGTCGAAATGTCGGGTCGAAGTTAAAGAAAAGTAATATTTATTGCGTTAAGCCGATAAAAGGTTTATTTAATAGGTACTGTTTTGAATCGCTGTTATATATTTTACTCGAAGAATGTTAATAGTATTTGTATGTAGTTTACGCGAGTTGTACACATTTAAATTAAACACTTAATTACCTACGGCCGGACGTTTCGGATGCTTCGCAACAGCCGTGACTGCGGCGCAGGGCTGTACTATCTTTCGCGTTTTAAACCGTTAAAATTGGGTTTATTTAAAGGAAGAATCTTTTCCCTAATCTTATATTTATTTAAACTAAATCTTAATAGCCAAGGGTTCATAATGCGACGTGTTAATTATATTTACAATCAATATAAAGCCAAAATAGGTCGACATCGCATCTTGATTAGATTTAAGGAAGAAGAAGGCAATTAAAAGGAGTGGCGGCGAGTTTCTTGCCAGTTCTTCTCGTACGTTTTCTACCATTAACTTGGGAACTGGTAGTAACTGTAAATTTTGAGCTTTAAATTTTTAACTCTTTTTTAACAATGAATAAATTATTTTTTGATTTTAAAAATCGGAAGTTGAATTTTTTTTCGACTCGGGCAGAACTCGAACCGGCATCGTTAGCGTTCCGTTGCTGTCGTTTCCATTGTGCTGTTGCTCTACCAATTGAGCTACCAAGTCACGATACCAGTTCAAATCTTGCCCGAGTCGAAATTTTTTCAATTTATTTTCGTTTTTCAAATTATATAGCGCCAGTACATATAAAAAATATTTTTTTTTATCTTGTTTAGATGTTATACGGCTGTGTGTACCTACCATCAAGTGAACAACAAGCTTATTTGTATTCTTCTATCATAAAATACTAATTTTTTGTCTTATAGTTCCTTTGTTTTAAATTACATTTATTTAATGTATCATATGATAAGGTACGTCAAAATTAGATCCGTGTTATAGTCTTACTATTACACTAGGATGTCATTCGCCATGTACGGAAGCCAGGTGGCACAACCTGACTCACGATACGAAGTGGGTCACGAGCTTGTGGGAAACTTATATTTTTGTTATTAACATGGAGTTTGGGCGACTTATCGCTGTGTTTTGGTCCGTTCAAATTCCACTTGCGATATAATGGCTTGGCTCTTAAAAGTGAAATCAAAATTTCCCAATCTAGGGCAGGTATATATCCGTGTCTGTTTCCTTTGGAGATTAATCATTTAGTTGATGAGTTGTTGTAGAAATAGTTACGTACTAAATACTAACTCTAGTTTACGCGAGTAGTACATTTAAATAAAACACTTTAACTGTTAAAACGCGATATATTTTAGATACACTTTGAAAATTATTTTTAACTACGGCCCGACGTTTCGGATGCTTTGCAGCAACCGTGGTCACGGGGAGCCTAAATAAGTTTAACGAAAATACATCGCGTTTTAAACCGTTAAAGTTTCTATTTAAATAGTTACGTACTGTATAAATATATATAATTTCAATAATTGCCTAAAAAATAAATATGATACAAATTAAGGGACACAAAACATAGACTCGTGGAAATTTCATCTTTATTCTTGTGTCGCAGAGAACACTTTGTGTCATTTCTTAAAACGCTTCGCACCGATCAGAGCGCTCTCTGATCCGTTTCACCGACTTCCGTGCCCAGCTTAACTGAAACAATTGACTGTGTCCCGAGCTTCGAATCCAGCATCTCTCGCGTTTAACACAATGCTAGGCAACACGATTAAACATCAAATTACAGAAACGGTTTCACCTTAAAAATATGATTAGTATTTTTAACTCGAAGTGAAAAATATATGTTTTGATGCATTACTTATTGTAATTTATGATAATTGAGAGCGGAAAAGTCAACTAAAAACAAGAAAAATACACGACTAATGCGACACGTGTTTCTCCCACGTTAGTAACAAAACTCTACATTCGCAATTGATTAATTAAAAAGCTAATTACAATCAGTAATTAGCTTATAGCTTGCGTAAAATGTTGATTGTTTTTAATGGAATTTCGCCAGTGATATTCGTATTTCCATCATTAGCTCTTAATTAGTTCCCACCGCTGGGACTCCAGTCTTGAGGTGATGCCTCCATCTACCAACAACATAATATACGTATTACGAGTATGTCTATTAATAATATGATATTCCGAATATCCAAAGCCGGTCGTAGGACGATAGCACATCTTGTTATATGGCTAGGGTATTTCGATTATTAAACTATCTATCTACTATATACCTCTATAGTTAAACAAGTATATATATTAGATAGAGAGGGATATTATAAACAGTCAGCTTTACGCGTCCCATTGTGGTACTTGGTTATATAATAGTTTCGGCCAGATAAGGCACAAAGGTCCCACCAACGATCTGCCTACAAAGCTGTGATGTATTGGGAAAATGGGATATCACACCTCGATGTAGTGGATTCATCATAATATAAGAGAATTTCAATAAAATAAGTTCTTTATAGCGATATAAATCGTAACCTTTAGTAAGACCTCTAAATAACGAAGCATACAATAAATAAGGGTTATCGTTTTAAAATTTACAATCCGTGTAACACCTGCATTAACTTACGAAACACTGCATTCACAACAATACTAAGAATGTTCGTATGATGTCATCGACTTGCAAATTCACAAATCTTGTCTCATAACTCTGAGAAGCCTTTTAAATAGCTACGTTTGGTACCTATGACTGGTGGTGTCAGTTTACACGCTCAAAAAGCGCTCTTCCTAAATGGGGCATGGGGCAAACTTTCCATTATC